GGGAAAAGTTTCTTCTCTCTTGAGAAGAGATATATATAAAACACTGTCACTCCTTTCATGAGAAATCATCATGTCTGTATGTGACACCTCGAACAACAGCAACCATCTTATAGCCTCAAAAGAAGCTGGCAGAAAACAAAGCCAAACACAAGTCAAGCGAGCCTAAAGATGGAAGAAACATAGGCCCCTGATGATATCTGTTGAAACACTGAACTAACCTACCCTGGAGCCATTCTACTCATACCTTCTTATTTGAGATAATAAATTTTCCTTATGGTATAAGTCGTTTTGCATTGGATTTGCTATTTCTTATAACTAAAAGCATCCTGACTGCTATGGATAGGAACAGATCAATAAATGCTAAACTGAAATAGCACTAGTCAGTGCATAAGCTACAGATAGGGTTTGTCTGCACTAAAAGGGTAAGAAAAACGTGCATTCAATAGTGATACCATGGGCAAGATGGGGCTAACAAAAGTATCACTGTTTGCATAACTGGATAGCACTATGAAAAAACAATTTTTGAGTCATGCTTAATAATGTAATAAATTCCAGATGAGTCAAAAGAATTCAACCATGAGAAAATAAAGCAAAAGCATGCTAAAGGGAAAAAAAAAAAAAACGTACTATGTTTACATGCTACTGTTGGGAGAAAAAGTCACATAACCTTTCTAAGCCTCAGTTTTCTCCATTGTGAAATGGGGATGACTACTACCTACAACTCTTAACAGGTTTATGAGGATTAAATGAGTAAAGTATGTGAAGTGTTAAGCCTTTAATCGTTCCCCTTTCCTTTATTTCTGTAGCTAACATTTGAAAGCTCTGCAAGTTAGCCTCTTTACTGATAAAACTGACCTAAAAAGAAAACAGTCATTTTAGTCATTTTGGCCAAATAATCTTAAGAGTAAATTTTAGACCACAATATTAACCCCCTTTCCAATGCAGGAATCCCATCTGCAATATTTTGACATATGGGCATCTGACTTTTGCTCCACCATAGTATTCTGTCACATATTTGTTAAAGAAAAACTAGCTGCCTCCACTAATTGCATATGGTCACAAGATGTTTGGACCTATCACCATATACTTTCTTAATTTTATAATACTACTGTATGAGATGCTCAATTACTTTCTAGTATCATCCAAAATAAAATGGGCAAAAATATATTCTTACATAATCTAAAGCATATATAACTGAGCTGGGGGAGTCAAGACACTGGAGTGAGAGGCAGGGGTGCAGACCTTCACTTTAATTCAAGTGGAGAAGCTACAAAACACAAGGAATGTCTAAATCCAACCACAAGTTGGGGCAAGGAATCTTGACTGAATAATCTCAACACTCTGAAATTCTGTAAAATAATGAAGAATAAGTCTTCCCCCACTTCCTAAGGTCTAGATTCTAGATTCTACCAGGACTTGGGGCCTTACAGAAATTAACATTCCTCCAAGTGCAAAAATAATTCATAAAAAAATGACAGATAAAGCAAATAGTCCTACCGCTCCTTTACTTAGTTCCCTCTACTTTCAAAACATGCCCATCATATAGCTTTAAGGTCACTATCAATCTTAAATGGAACATTTCATCAGACTAGTAGGAGCAGAAACCAGCTTATAGTAGGTAGAAAAATTTATGGAAAATGAGGAAATGAAAAAATGGCCGAAAGAAATGAAAAAGATCAGAAACACGTGTAATTTAGAATCTAAACTTGATGGAATACTTTTAGATAGAAGAAATATTTTCATAGAAGGTAAATAACTGAGTGAGGTTCCAAACACTGTAGGGGAGAACAGGATTCAAGATCTCAAGTTAAGACATTAACTTTGTAATACAGGAGAAAAATACTTCTATATAAATAGTATCCTATTAGAAAAACATGGAGTCCTATTCAAAGCTAGAACACTTAATAGTCACAAGACCTTGAGTAAGTTATTTAACCCTTTACAGCTTCAATATTCTCATCTGTAAAATAAAGATACCACATACTGCTGTTATAAGAAACAATCATATATCCTAGTAAGTAATAAAAGCATATTCATGGATAATTTCGAAGAACCCCACCACCACCACCACCACCACTACCACGGCTTTAAAGGTTTATAGGTATGGGTGAACACAAGCTAGGCTTTCTGCCGGCATGGATAACTGAAGAAGTTCAGATGGTTCAGATTTT